ACATGAAGGCTAGGACAGCACCTTCAACAAACAGATGCGGAGACATGCATTTTAAATAGAGTTGCAGATTCAGACAGGGATGCATTAAAATGTTAGTCTTAGTTTACTATATGTCACCTGTGCTCACTCCACAGATGTAGTCGAACAGCTGGTGAATCTTTTTGCCTGTTTGATCCTCCAACAGCTTTAATATCTGAAGAGGCACAACACCTCTGAAAAATGCAAAGAAAAAGGAAAACATAAACCCCCAGAAATATGAACACATTAGCATAGTCATACACAGAACCAGTGGATACCATCAGACACAGCTTAACCTTTATATACTGTTTGGCTCAAATTAAACCCATTTTGACATTTAACGAAAATGAAAAATATTTGTAGTTTGTACAGGTGCTTCAAATTTTTCTGCACAGAGGCTGTACCAGGTCAGATTTCACCTATATGTATTCAGATGGATTTTAGCCTAACCGACATGGATCAAATCAAAGAAAAGGGTGGTTTTGAATGATAGAGTTCAAGGAGGTACTTTACCACTTCACATACAAGGAATACCTGTGATCCACAGTCCAAAGATATACATGCTAGGTTAACTGGTAATTCTGAATTGACCATGAATGTTAGATAGTTAAGGTGCTTAATGTATACTAAACAAAATGAATGTGTAGTTAAAGTTGTTTTGAGTGCTTAATGATCTATTTTTTCTTACATTTACCTTGTTCCACCACCATCAATTGAGAGGACTCTTATGCCACGGCCTTTGACTGGATCCGCATATCCGATAAGAGCCAAAGTTTCTCTTAAGGCAGCCTGAAGTTCCTGGTTATGTTCATAGTTCTTCCGTTGTCTCAGCATTGAAACTGCAATTTTCTCCTGGAAACAAAATCACGTTTTAAATTCAATGAGGTTAAAACAACTGTTAAATATAAGTATTTGTGTTTAATTCTCAACAGACCTTCCAGATTAAGGCTTTGCATGAGGGGTAGTGGATAAGGTGTTCATTGAGTGCTTCTACGCAGTCAGTCAGAGCTTCTGGAGTAGAAGCCAGTCTCAGGCTATCAGTGAACACACATGTCATTTCATCTGCTTGTTTCCTATTCAAGACAAGCTGACAAACAAGCAGAATCGCATCAAAGTTCATTTTTATGTATTTTAGCTTCTTAGCAATGAGAGCAGATTTTTATCTTACTTAGTTCATCGGGGCATTAACTGGGAATTAATGAAAATGTTACTTTAACTCACCTTTTTATTTAATACTGCCTGCGGGGCAGGGATGGCAGTTTTGGAGTTGCTTTTTCGATAAACACCCAGCAGTTCTGGAATGGTACTTGTGGGGTTGCAGAGGTAATCCATAAAAGATACACTCTTCAGTCTCTTGGGGGACTTTTGGGATTCAGTGTCCTCATTCAATCCACTTTGACCCTTGAAATACTGATTGATGTGTTGGGATGTTTGATAATAGTTCTCACTGATTTTAGTTGTATTACAGCTGCTGTGGAAACTGCCTGCAGCTCCTGGGGTGATAGATTCTTCTTGCTTCAGCTGTGAACTGGCACTGTGAGTTTGTGAGGTGGATTGTGTTAAAAGGTGTTTCTTGTAAGTCCAATCCTTCTCTACGAGAGGTTGTTCTTTCGTATTCTGAGCTTCATCAGTTACTTTGGCACCAAAGTATTTATTAATGTGCCTTGCAAAGTGAAGGTATCCTTCCTCCCAGGTACTGGAGTTACTGTTGGGTTCCAGTGCTGCCTTTACTTTAGACTGTTTACCTCTGATTTGTATTTTTCGTCTCTTCTCCCTTCTGTTTGTCTCTTTGGAAGGAGGCTCCAAATTCTCCCGTTTTTGAACTTTTGCCAAACCCTGAGAGAAAAATGTGTTAATGTGATGAGCAACATAATTGTAACCCTCACCAAATCTTGTCGTGAGAGAGCTGATGTGAAATAACTGCAGTCCAGATGTTTCTTGAGTTGAATGACTTGTTACAGAGTCCCACTGCTTGTCTTTACATTTCAAGGTCTGTGTTGTGTCTTTGCTTTCAGGTATATTTTCCTCTGTGGCTGCTTGCTGACTTTGACTAATCCTCTGTGACCTGCAAGCATACTCTGGAGTAGACATGACAACACTGGCATTTTCAGACAGACTTAAAACTTCTTTTCTTTTGAAATAAATGTTAATGTGTCTGGACAATTGATTAAATGATTGACCAAGACACCCTCCAACCGAACTTAAAAGAGAATTGTTCTGAGCCTCGTCAAAAATCCCAACTGGAGCTTTGGCTTTGAAGACATCCTTATTAGAAGATGAATAAAAACGGACAGCCTGAGGATGTCTCGCCTTTTCTGTAAGGTCTCTAAGGAGACTATAAAAGGTAGAGCTTGTATCGCTGTGCTTTACTTTTTTAAAAGTGGCTTTTGTTGCAAACCTGGAAGGTTGAGGAGGTGACAGCTGTAAATATCTATGTAGGTCAAGGCAGAGTGGTGCTTTAGTCAGACCATGGTCCTTTCTGAGAAGGTTCATTGTATATTTGTATTTGCTGTACAATTTCAATGTCCTGTTCACACAACATGAACACAATTTTGTGCTCAGGTAGCGACCCATGTTGTCTTGATGAGCAGCACTCAGTCAAAGCCTAAATATCACTCAGCACTGAGTCAGGCTGCAGTGGCATATTCAGCAGGAATCTGGAAAAGTCAACAAAACATTTGAACAACAACTAAGTCAACTCTACACAATGATGACGCTCTGTGGCTGCAGGAGCGTGTTAAACAAAATGCTTACATGACACATGATATTGACATGTTGAGCTTTAGTAGTCATACATGATCAGAAACTTTGCTAATTATAACTAAAAGAAGTGAAGCTCATGATAGTTTCATCATTTTCACTTGTAAATCTAATTATGGGAAAGTTGTGACTCAAAGATGAAATATTAATACTAGGGATAAAATTATTGCATTCATGTTTCCAAAGCTTGTCTGCGCTGATGACATGCACATAAACAACTATAAACAACTCTGACCGATCAAACTACAGGCATCATGTTTTACATTAGCCTGGTGCCTTTCTTTCCTTATGCTATCTCCACAAGAATGTAACATGAAACCTCCAAGCCAGAAAAAAGCGTGGCCTATAAATAACTCTCTATGGTGTATCTGTACTTCCATATTTCCATTTTGACAACACACACACGGCTTTGCCTATAGTTAATCTCTTATCCTTATTAATAATGATGGAATGGTTAATACCATGTAAAATGAAGTGTATGCACTGAGGTGGCTATACAAACTAAAAGGCAGACAGCTCGGGTATGCAATAATCAAACATCGACATAGGTTAAAGTCTTCCACTTAAGCAAGGAGAGGTCACGAATGACAGAAAATGTAACCTTGACAGAATATGTGTTGAAAGCGTACACACTAAAGATTTACCTGAAACATAACACCAAGTTTTCCTGTCTTCACAATTCCTCTTCGTGCAGATGCCTGCTCTCTAAAATCCAGAACAGCAGTTTTGACAGACTGTCAGAGTCACTTTTTTTTTGCTGTGTTTTGACACTTGATTCAATCCTTCCTACACGCAGGACTTTAATCTCATTTGCTGGGCTGGGCTGGGGGTGTGTATGGGGGGTGCGAACTGGCTTGGCCAGTGTTCAATAAGACACACAGGCTTAAGGTCATGTGTTGTCACTGCTGACAAGCACAAGTCTAAAATTAGGGATGGGGTGACAGCTTAAGGTCTCAGTGAACTCATGTTGGGTGCTTTAAACATCACCACACATCACACACACCAAACAGACAGAGCTGTGACTCATCACCGCAAACAGCACTCCAATTCTTAGAAGCTGTGCCCAAGCTGGAAGGTACATGTGATGCAAACAACTGGAAGTCTGCAGTTGTAAATGGATATTATGAAGTGTGCTCATGTTTTAAATTAGAGCCTGAATGTATGGTTTAAATGGGCCAATGTTATTCAGCAAAAACAATTAAATATGTGCTTATGTGACCTTGTGTCATGTTCCTTCTTTGCAGCTGTGCCCAAGGAGGCAGAAGCAAGTCCCCTACCTAGAGCGTTCGATCCCTGGCGTGTATGTCCAAGTATCCTTGGGCAAAATACTGAACCCCAAATTGCCCCCCAGTGGAGCACGAGTGTGTTTGTGAATTTTATGCAAATTGCTTAGGCATGTTTGAATGGGTGAATGAAGCTTGTAGCAAGAAAACAGTTCGAATGCTCAAATTGAGCAAGTAAGAAGAAAAAAGTGCCATACAAGTAAATTCCATTTGACATTTACGCTGTAACCAACAGTGTTTTATAAACACCTTTGTCCTATAGCAGGATCTCATGTAATCTTTAACCAGCACGTGCTGTTCTACACGGCTGTTTATTTTTGGTGAAACATAAGAGGAGGGGCTCACGTGTTTCTCTCCAGCACACAGACACTGACGTTACTTTCAAAACAATAGTCACAAAAAAGAAATAAATAATCAGAGAGCTTCAGTAGTTTTGATTTTTTTTGTTGTTGTTAAACAAATCCACTAAATTTGACATTTCTGCTCGTATTTGTTCTTCTGGCTATGATCTGATCAGTTTGCTAAAATTCAGCACAATTTCTAAAGAACGATTTCACTCTCGCAGACTTACAATGACATCTAGTGGCAGATTCTTGACAGTTTGGTTCTTAATCGGCTTTGAATGAACCGCTGTGCATGACAGGAAATTGATCATATTCCGCTTCAGTGACTTTGAGTCTTATCTCTGCACCGTGTATATGATGAATACATGACAGTCCTTTACAGAACACACAATCCTTTCTGTCAAGAATGATTCTTTCTATGTACAGCGAAGCTTTTTTCTTTTTTAAAAATCTGTTTCCATAGCCACTATCTTCGGTCTGACTGCCACCTCCCCAGTGATTTTATTAGAAGTAACATTGGACCAATCTGCTGATACGAATACACACCAGAGGAAGAATAAAAATCATGACAAAATGCTGTTATCAGTCAAAAACAGATTTTCAAACTGTATTTAATGAAACCTGTACATTCAGAAAAATTTCTTTGAATACATTCATCTTCAGCTCTATTTTACAGTTGTAATTTTATCTCTGCATCATTGTTGTTATTTTAAATTACTTTAGGTGAACTACATAACCAACATAACCATTTTTTACAGGATTATCCGCATGATATTTATGCAGTTCTTCATATATTTACAGTACTTATAAAACAGTGCTGGAGCGTCAGGGTATTTTCTTTTCACAGCGTCCTGTCGTGCACTCCTCTCCACGTCCGGTCCACTTTAAGCGGTTCCTGGCAAAGATGTCATAGGATTTGACCATCAATGGTCTCATGGGTGACCACATCATAAAGCGACCCAACCAGCCGAGGCCTATGGCGCTATACATGACTGCAAATGCTGGGACTCCGCTGTGAACCTGGTAACACACAGCATGAAGGTGCATAATACAACACTTAGGTTAAACTGCATATTGTGAGGTTCATTAAAATCTTGGTTAAATAATCACCTTGTCTTTCTTATCAATCACGTGCATTTCCTTCATGGCCATCTCATAGGTGATATCCTTGTATTTTGTTCCATCATAACCTGGCAGAGCGATATCAATGAAATGTACTTTCTCAGGCCGGTTTCTCTGCAGAAACTGGAGGAAACGGATCTCAGTCACACATATTGGACAAAGCCCATCATACAGAACCTGGAAAAGAGTGGAGAACAGACATTTACATGAGGAATTGTCTGATATTTTATCCCTAATTTTCTAAAATTCAGTTAAACTTGAAGGATATCAATCCTGTTGGGAGGCATAAACCCTTGTGGATTCATTTAACCTGCTTTGGTGCAAATGAAAGTACAACAGT